GCAAAAGGACGACCACCGGCGAGTCCGCAACAGACACACGCTGAAAAAGAGTTTCAGGAGCTAGTCCTGAGGAAGAAAAACTCTGGCCACAACGGTGTCCAGAACCAGGCCCAGGTACTCCAGTCATGGGGAAGGCACCAGACAAGTCTTCTGGAAGTTCAGGATCCATCCGAACTCCCCCAAGGACCGCACAGTGACCTCCAGAGCAGTTACCAGAGAAGAGTGCGACACTGCCCGCAGAAGAAGATCATCCAGATACCCCACGACCGAGATCCCCCAGCAACGCAACTGCGCCAGAACCAGGGCTAACACCTTGTTGAACACCCGCAGGGCCAACGCCAGGCCGAAAGACAGCGCCACAAACTGAAAGTGCTCTTCCCCCACTGCAAAACGAAGATATCTATGACTGATGAGAGACACAAATGGGCACATGAAGGTTGGCAAGGTTATTGTTTGATGTCGACGGAGGCCAGCAGATCCCCCTGTCGGAGATATGCCACTACGGACCTGATTGACTCCATCCGAAACCGATGGGCCCGCACAAAAGTGTTCAAAACGTTTGAGGCCCAGGGTGGGACGAACTCCCTCTTTCTTGGGCATGGTAAACAGGTCGGAAAAAAATCCCCTGAACCTTTCGAGGACGGAACCGGCACAATCACCCCCTGCGACAAGATGTCCGCCACCGTGCGGTGAAGATCCGCCAATCGTGGAGGGGAAAGTCGTGTGTTGGACGGGAAACACCTGTTCCCGGTACGGGACAGAAATTCGATCTTGCAACCCGAAGAAACCAGACCCCGCACCCAGGTGTTGGAGACGTGAGCCACCCAAAAATCTGCAAAAGGCCGAAGGCGCCTCCCCACCCTGGGACCCAGAGCTGGGGCCAGACCTACATGTGGACGAGGGCTTGCCAGCGGGCTTGGCAGACTTAGGCTGCCAGGGACGCTTGGCAGTCTGGGAGGGAGGAGGTTTGGAGAACTTACCGCCCTTCTCTGAGAGCGGAAGGGGCCGAAAAAGCCATTTGTGAGCAGAAAAGGAGGGACCAGGTTTCCGCCGCTGTTCCCTCTTCCGTGTCTGAAGTAAGAAGGCACTCTTACCCCCCGTCAAATCCTTAATAATCTCATTCAAGGAGGTAAACGGTCCCCGGTAAAGGAAAGCTCTGTCAGAGCTTTCTTGGAAGCCTGGTCAGCCGACCAGCATTTGTGCCAAAGCAACCGGTGAAGCGTAACCGCCGACACTGACAGTGTCGGCGGTTACGCCAAGGGTTGCCACATCCAGGGCAGAGTTGCAGACATACTGAAGGCCCTGCACCAATTGTTCCGCCAATTCCACATAAACGGGAGAAACATTTACCTCCGCAAGCCCCTGAGGCAACATCTTTGCCCATTCTGTCAGAGTCTGGGAGACCAAGGCAGAAGCCAGAACCGGGCACATCAGGGCCCCCAAGGCAGAGTACATAGTCCGCGAGACCGCCTCCGCTGTCCTATCGGTGGGTTCCCGAAGGGACGGGGAGTCCTCCACCGGGATACCGGAGGGTCCACCGCAGGGGGAGACATCCATTTAGACAAAAAGGCCTCCCCAAAAGGATAGCGAACAGAGAAACATCAGCTGCCTGTCAAGGAGGTGCTCGGGAAGCACCAGCAGGGGGCACCCTAACATGCCGCGTCTACCTGGTACAGCCAGCCCGGATTGCCACGGTATGCGATCAGGGCTGGCTGGATCAGGCAGACGGGGCCCTATAATCAGGCGCTGTAGGGGGCCAACAGGTTGGGCCTTCTAAAGACCACCTTGAGGACCGAGTGGCGGCCGATCGCAGAGCCGCATTGGATGCGGCCGGCCGGGACAGGCGGCAGGGAGAGAGCCACTGCAGCTGCGGCCACAGCAGACACCCACCCCCCCACCAGGGTCCATGGAGCCCCCCACTGAGGACCAAACCAAGGTAAGGTGACATTTTATGTCTGGACCAGGGTGTCCAACAAGTGTGCTGTAGGGAAACACATTTTTTCTCTCCAATGTTTTGTTTCCCTACGTATTCTGCATTGAGCTGTATAGGGGACTACAAATCCCATCAATAATACATTACACAGCGAAATGCAGAATACCACCAGCTATAGAGCTATACAAAACCCAGCAATAGTATATTATAGGTGGTGGAATTCCACATTGCGCTGTATAATGTATTGCTGGGTAGTCCTCTATAGCCGGTGCCATTCTGCATTGATTGCTGTATAATTTTACACTTTCCATTTCACTATATTGCACACCACACTTTTTTTTTCTTATTTCCACCGCTCCAAGCTTGCTCCTGTGATGGACTACAATCTCAATACATTCTAGTAGTCCCATCACTGGAGCCTTTTGTTTTGGAGCAGAGAGCCCGCACTGACCACCTGGCGGTCCGCATTGGCCACCTGAGAGCCTAATTAGGGAACCACCTCTGCTGCACCCACACGCACCCGTGAAACTCTCTGGACCCCTGGTGAGAGCCCGCACAACCCTCCTGAGACCCTTTAGACATCAGGCGGAGAACCCAGAGCAACAGAGTTTGTAGCTTCATTTTATTCTGCATTGCTGTAATATTTATTGCTGGGATTTGTAGTTCTCTATAGCTGATGTTGTTCTGCATTGCTGTATAATGGTATTGCTGGGAATTGTAGTTCTCCATCTGTTGTTAGTCATTATTGCTGGGATTTGTAGTCCTCTATAGCTGGTGATATTCTGCATTGCGCTGTATAATGTACTATTGCTGGGATTTGTAGTTCTCTATAGCCAATGCCATTCTGCAATGCTGTACAATGTATTTCTGAGCTGGTGGCAGAACTACCGGAGTTGCAGCAGTCATGCACGCGAACAGCCCAGACGTGGCATCCCTCCACTACCAGTGTGCTTTACATTTCCTAAACCGATAAATACATTCAAACTACTGTTACATAGACGGCAAAAGTGACAGACAGGGGCGGGGAGAAGCCGGGGAAGAGGCAGAGCGTGAGGGGGGCCAAGTCGCTGCACAATGGGCGTCTGGGTTGTACTTGCCCCCTTGGGCTAAAAGTTGCCAGTCAGCCCCTGGCGGAACGCCTACCCTTAGGTGTCCCGAACTGAACTGGTGGCAATGCGGAAGAACCAGGAACGTCCTCAAGTTTGAGGGCCTCCCTAACTGCCTGCATTAGCGCCGAGACCAATTCACGCTCCTGACCCAGGAGCGAAGCCGCCGACTCGTCCTCACTGCCCGACTCCGGTTGGGAAGAACCCCCAGGATCAAGGCGAGGGGACACCGTGGAAAGCTCCCCAACGGAAGAGTACATTTCTTAGGGGGCTTCTGCGTCAGCGCGCCTTCAATGCGTGTCACAAAGCCATCCATGGCAGAAGCAAAAACTCAAGGGACAATGCAGTACCTGCGCCAGCGTACAGGCCGCACAAAAAGGGGGGAATGAGAGGAATCAACAGAAAGCAGCCCACAGCCCTCGCAAGGTAACGTGGGCCGTGCGTTCCTGCGTTCCATGATACCCCGCTCACACTTCCCCACTGCCTCAGGAACAGGAGACTGTCACAGGCAGAGAGGGACCGCAGCAGTACTCACGACCCCGCGTCTGAAACACCACAGCAGAGCGATTCGGAGGAGAGCTGCACACGTCTGTTCTGCAGACAGCCACGCTGAGGAAAGGAACGCCCCTTCCGCCCATCCGAACTAGGCCAGGCACCAGAATTCTCCACAGGAAGTGACAGCGGCCGAATAGGGCGCCTGCCCTCAACGGAAATGGCGGCACCAGAGTTCTCCACAGGAAGTGACAGCGGCCGAATAGGGCGCCTGCCTTCAACGAAAACGGCTCCGGAACGAAAATGCGGCCGCGGTGCGACCCGCGGCCGAATTTGACCTCAGACATCCCCAGACACCCTCACACAGCCCCCGCATGTAGAAGTAACGCCACAGAGGGCCCAGCAGACGGCCGACACCGACTGACAACCCACACTGCACCCTTTAGGTATGGGGAGGGGGGAGAGAGACAGACAGGGGCCCAGTGTAATACTAAGCTGTGGCCCCCCGCCACAGGACCAGGACCCTCACAGCACGTCGCCCACATGGGGGACTGGTCAGTCAGAGAGCCATCCAGCAGGTAGGGTGCACCCGCACGTCCCCAGCACAGGTCCATACATACCATACCAAGCGAATTCCCCCAGTATCACTGATTGACTCTAGCAGCACGAAGGGGAAGCCTCACCTCAGAACGTGCAGGAAATGGCAGGAAAACGTCCCCAAATGTGGTAGCGGCGCCGCCAGCCTGTGTGGGCCGTTGTGACTGTCAGGCCAAGACCTCCAGTCATATGCACCCCATTGGGCCAAAAAGCCCACAGGCGTCGAGATATCACTGTTGCAGCCGAACCACCGTAGCGGGACTGCATGCGCTCGTTGGTCGCACAGGGGAGACTCCAAGGATCTATAATCATCCAGTATGTCACCCTGGCGACACTTTCTTGAAGAAACAGCGAAGAAAAGGAGGAAAAGAAAAAAATTCCAGAGATAATTTTTTTTAGCTCCTTACTCCTGACGCTAGGCAAAAAACTGGAGACTTGTCAGCAGGTGGGGGGTTGGGCCACCAGCAGGGGCCGCCCCTAGGCTGTCTTTGTCTTTTGTTGTGTGCCTAGCGTCCTTCTCCTGCAGGTGGCGATATACCAACAGTACAGGATCTACGATCTGTTGCCCTGTGTCCTTCAATGAACGGAGAAGAAACTTATTTTATGTCCTGACTTTAAATAACACAAGCAACATATACTCACAGGCAGTTCTTTTCTAGGATGACAACACTTGTTCAATTAGGCACACTGCCTAATTGGACTACAAGCAGCCATGCCAATGTACAGTACACTGAAAGGTTATGCCATAGTCACCACAAAAAAAAAAGAGAATGCACGCCTGTTACTGACAGAATTGTACAAAACTCAGCCTCCTTCAGTCTTTTCTGAGAGTTTAGTTCCACTTTAACACCTTTTAAATCCATTACACTCACCCTTGTGTTGCCTTGTCACCCTCAATGCCCACCTTTGCTACAGTATCCTGAGAAAACAAAAATAATTATACAAAAATGTAATGCTATAAATTGGGGATGGACACATTAATGTGTAACTCTGGAGCCAGATAGTCTAATTTAAGGCTCAAAGGCAATGTTCAGGGTCTAAAGAATATGTACTTAAGTAAAGCAAAGCACCAGCTGTAATGTTTCAGGCTATATACTAGGCTTTTCCCAACCTGGTACAGCTATCTAGACTATTTATTATAATATATAAAGTGTGTAAAGAGAGTATAATAAAAGTGTGTAGTGCAGTTACCTGGGTATTTTCTTTCAGTGCTTGATCTTCTTGCCAAGAAGCCACTGTTCCAGGAATAGAGAACTCCACAGTAGTATTCGAACACTTCAGTTCAGCTACATATGTGATTTTAATGATGACCGTTGCCCTGACTGGCAAATTCCCAACACTCACTGTGAAGACATCCTACAAGAGAAAAGTCTGTATAAATACTTATTACTATACTATATAAAATACTAACATGTACAGTATCATGACTATCACTCAGCAGCACTGCAAATGACAACAATATATACAGTGCTTACAAAAAAAAGGTGATAGGTAAAATACAACATTATCAAATTAATTGTTCACACTTGGGGTTTGTTTAATGATGTAGTGGAGTGATGATCAGAAGCCCTAGCAATAAATAGCATCATTTCATGCAAGCACAAAACATTATTGTGCCTTATTTTGTGAATTTAAAGTGTATGTCACATGACAGTATGTCCTGTTTCACTCCTTACCGAATAAAAAATTACCTGTGTATCAGGCGGGTGCTTGAAGTGACCACGGATGGCACCGTGCAAATCACAAAATCCAAAAATGTCACCAGCACACCATTTGAACCCTCTCAGGGTCCCCTTCATCAGGCTCAGAATGATGTCATTCTGAGCCTGATGAAGGGGACCCTGTGAGGCTCCGAAAAAGGTTGTACTTGGATGACTTACATGTGTCATTAAATTGAATTTGCTTCATGTTCAAATGGTGTGCTTTGACATTCTTGGATTTTTTAAAGTGTATGTGACCCCTATCAATTAACTTCTTGTTTGCTCCCTTTTTATCTGTTAAATTAAAAGTGTTTTGTTATATTTATTTAATAAGATGTGGCAGTGTGTGGCAATGCCACAGTGTAATTTGGCGACACAGTCATCTAAAACTGTCAGCCAGAGGGGCCGAGAGGTTCCAGAATCTGAACTGTTTTGCAGGGAAAAAGCTAGCTTTTCAGTCCCTTCTGGGTTTTCCGGATTGTAGATGGTATCTGGAACGCTGGAGATTTTTAAGAGTTCTGGATGAGATGAAATCTCCAGTCCTGGAGCCAGGTGTTGCCGCTGATCAGGTGGCTGAGAGCAGCATTATTAAGAGCCCGGACCAGAGCTCAGGGGAGGGGTTGGTGTGGTGTGCGTTGAAGGCACACGAGGGACAAGCCAGGTTTGGTGTGCGCTGAAGGTACACGAGAGCCAAGCCAGGTGGTGTGTGGTGGAGCCACACAAGAAACAGCCTGGGACGTTGGAAGATTTGGAGAGGCTGAGAGAGCCAGACACACAAGGTGTGTGTGTATTGGAATCACATGAGAACTGTGTGAAAAACTGCTGAAAGCTGCTAAATGGTACAAAGTACTTCAAAAGAGTTTTGTTAAGGAAAACCTTAAAATCCTGGGACACCCTGTGAATGAACTGGACAACCTGAGACTGGTGAGATTTGAGAATATGTAATTTTGATGAAAGACAAAAAGACTTTGTGGGAAATGTATCAAAAGTGGAGCAGACAAAATGTGGAGCAGTTGCCCAGGGCAATTAATCAGCTTCTCTCTTCAGTCTGCTCAGGTAAGATTTGAAAATAAGACAAAGAAGCTGATTGGTTGCAGTGCAAATCTGCTCCAGTTTTGATCAATTCCCCCTTTGTGTTTCCTTATGCAGAAGAAAAGATTATTAGTTGAAGTACATGGATTGTTAGCCTTTGTGTGAATAAAGACTGTCCTTTTATGTTAAGACGGTTTCAAGAGTGATTTCTTAGCGCTCACCTTTGTGCTAAATATCCCCAAAATATTACAAAGTGCAAAATAATACCTATCAATCCTGCCAAAAAGCCTATGCAGTTCTGTGAACTGGGCATTGTTATCTCAAACAATTTTATCAGCTTCTGTCTGTGATCTACACCACCCCCTCATGCTGTGGAGAGGGGCAGGTGTTCTATAGTTTTAACACACTTCCTCTCCTAGGCTGATATCACTTTTTCTCTTTACTACAGTACAGTTAGTGAACGTTATCACCCTATGACAGGAAATGTGTTACTAGCAGTATCACTGGGCACACCGCCATATGTAAGGACTGGTAAGCTGCAATATATTACATTTTTAATGTAACTTAATCAAATTCCCACATTTTTTTATTGCAGGGATATTCTGAATTTACTGTAGATATTTTATTGATTGTTGCTGTACTCTGAAAAGTGAATTCACAAACATAATTGCATGGCTTTTCATTTAGTCTATTAACAATGGGCATAGAAAACCACTATGGAGGAATGTCCTTACATATTTCATTGTGTTTTTATATCTCTTCACCGACGAGCTGTGATTAAAGAAAGCACTTGATGTATTCAGTATTATTAGAGGGAATTTCCATAATTTGACTCCTACATGCAACATATAATCACCGTATAAACATACTTTTATACTGGAAACTGTGTATAAAACTTACAGGTGCATCTTGATCCATAAGATAAGCCCCATGACCCTGGCTGATAGCTGTTCTGTACTCCTGATGTGCCTGTTGCTTTTCCTTAACCTAAGTATAAAATGGGTATCAGTAGTCTACAGAATACAGAAAATCACTTTAGGAAAATGTATATCCTATACAAAATTGTTTCACCTCTCCAACAATGTGTTTGCCATTGATAAATGCTTCAAACCCACACACAGCTGCTGTGCTGTCCAGAGGAAAAACATATTTGGCTTCTATTGGGAAGAAAGAATTATTCTTGTAGGTCTGGAAAATGACAACCTATTGGAGACAGGAGACATAAAGTAAGTGGAGGAAAAATGGTAGCTGGCTCTTGGGATCAAGTGTGTGAAAGTCACGCATACCTGAGCGGCAAGGTCCATTATTCGAGCTTTGACATGAATGCTCTCTAGGGGAATCTGTTGCCCATCCATGCCCTGAAGACCACCTTTTGGGACATTTGGGGTTTCAGGAAGAGCCTCTAGTGGATCATCTGTTAAAAGTATAAGCACACAATGGGTCTAATTCGTGAAGCTAGCTGAAGTGCAATTACGTGAAGAGAAACCATGTTTACTTCAAGCACTCAAACTTTACAAAAAGTAAGCTCCTCTTTAACAGGATTGGCTGTTTGAAGTGGACAATTCCTCTCCATATGCACTAGGCCCACCTCTATCTGTCTATATTGTAAAACACAATGCTTTCTCAAATATCCCTCAGATACATCCCAGCTCAATTTTGTGCTTTGAAATTAATTATGATGTATCCAAAAAGATGCTCTAAGCTATATAAGAGCTCTAAGCTATATAAGAACGGTGAACATCCATTTGCTGATCTCCTTCCCGCTAAATGGGGCCAGAAGCAGTGCTGATTGCATCACTTCCTGTCCCAGTCCCTTAAGTAATTTTCAGGCCTAAAATGTGGATTAAGACATGTGAAAACCACACAAACTCCTTGGCAGCAAAAGGGTTAAAGAACAAACACTATATTTAGGATTACTAAATATGCACATGCAACCACTGCGACCATGAAAGTTCTGTCAGTGATGAGAACATGCTGTACATTAATTGCAGAATACATTTTGATAACAATAGGAATAGTTACGCCAACAGCAGCAGCCATATACAACAATTATTTATTTACTTTGTTTGAAAAATATCAAAATCATGGGTTTTTGGATGGGGGGGTTGGAGACAGGCCCTTTACGGTTTCTTGCCCTGAGGCTTCTAATTACGCCTCTGAGCCCGGGTCTGATTTACCATGAGGCACAGTAGGTCTGGATCTGGTTGCATAATATGTTAGTCCCATATAAATATGGAAAAAACAATTTTAACGTATATCTAAAGTATTTACTTTCAGTTCTGTTTACACAACAGGAAGTAAGAAGAAATCTCTATAAAGTGAGGGAAATCCTCAGACGGTTGTCAATGGAACAAGTGACCCAGTTGGAAGACCTCCTCTATTCTTGTTTTTGAGGCGATTTTTTTTCCCAGTAACGGTAACAGTGGTCACCAATACAAACAGAAAGGGGGAATCTTCTTAACAGGGTCACAGACAGCTTTAAAAGCCTGATAGGGGTTCTAATCTCTCTCCACCCTATCCAAAACTAATTCTGTCTTTAGATACACTTTAAAACTAAAGACCTAGAACTGCATGGAATATTGAGATGAGATCAGTGACTTCTGCAGTCTAATAAAGGCATGATCACATCAAATACCAGATCATAAAGTACGATTTCCTTCCAGTAGCCTTTCAACCCTGGTATTCCAAAAACCTTCAAATATTTTACATCTGTTGTCAGTTCAGGAGATATTAAATTCTATATAAATATAGAACACATTTATATAATGTGTTTGGAGGCTTGCAATAACTATATGCATATGCCAGTAACCTACAACAACCAATCACATTTCTCCAGACTACTGCAGTCAAAGCAATGAAATATATTTCAAAGAAATATGGACTCCTGATGCCAACTGTACATGAATCTTTTTCCAATTTTATGTTTTCTAGAAATGTCAGCATTTTTGCTGAACTCCTTACCTTCAGTGAGCTCAAAACTTGTCATCTGCTCATTCTCCTCTAGTAAAGTCACTGCAGGTTCACTCCTTAGATTAGGAGTGTCTTTGCTAGTGCAAAACTGAACAACGTATCTCATCTTCACCTGATTTACATCATACACCACATATTCATCATCCTGAAAAATATACAAACATATCACATCACCCTTATTAAATTCTAAACAACAGCAACAACTAAACCCTATTTATTTATTACTGTAATGCAGTCAGGTTACTTCTTTTTTTTTTTTTATACTGCAGCAGGGGGTAAAAATACCTTGTGCTGGCTGCAGGATAGAGAGCCAGACGGCATCTTTCACACACAATGCAGTGGCCAGGCTCCAGTGTTCCCATAACACTGCTCCAACCAATAGTGCTGCTCAGAGAGCTAAAACACTATTGACTAGAGCAGTGTACAGAGCGGTTTTGGACCACTGGAAAGCAGAAACCACTACATTGTGTGTGTGAGAGCACCATTCAAATTTCTTTTGTGCTACAGTATTTCAAACCTTGCTGCAGCATTTAGAAATTGAACATAAAGGAGAATAATATTTATTAAATATATATGCAATAAATAGGAGCTGTACCGGAATTTTAACTTAGCTTAGTGAATGTAGTGGAAATACCTAATTAAGCACATGGAACATTGAAAAAAAACAGGATTTGTGCTTGCACACGTTTGGATGATTGAGGTCAGCACAGCTTTACCTTACTCAATAAGTGAAGTTAAAATTCCCTTAAAGGAGAACTATGGCTGAATGTATGATTGTTGGAACTACACATTGCATATATCCTACTTTGATGTAGTTACTCTGACGTGTCAGCCGTGAGAGGCTACGGTGCAGGCGCCCGCAGAGCCAGCTGGATCTCATTTACAACAAGAGTTGTGTACTAGGTTGCCATGGCGCCACTGTTTAGGGGTGGTACTAGCGGCCAGTCGATGAGACAGTGTGAGAGACTGCAACCCGATTGTGGCGGCTACAGCAAATCATTAAAGAGACAGACAGCCACAACTGTACGAGGTACACTTTCCAGTTATTACTATTATGCATAAAGTGTCTCTTCGTACATTATGCAGAATTTGGATGAAATATGACGTCCAAGTGGGAGGTACACGTTTTAGTGAATTTCTGTGATTGGTTGATAGTTTCTCTCTGTTATGTGTATGTATACAGTATGTATACAGTATATATTAGCACTTCATGTATTGGTGATCACACTTTTTGTTTTCCTAAAGAAGGGACCACCCGGTTCCGAAACGTTGCTTTATTTATGTGACATCACGATGGTCAATAAACGAGATTGACTGTTATTTGCTACGGAGTGTGAGTGACTTTTTGGTTTGATACGTTTGATGTGCGGAGGCATCCGCAGTCACTTCCAGCACCCCCAACTTTCTACGTGAGCTTGATCCGGTCAGGAGTGCGATGGGATCCACTACATTCTGATTGCTTGGGAATCCAGTGTTCTATCGAAAGAACACCGGCTTCACTTCCCGCAGCTGCCTTGCTTCCTGACCACTCAGGAAGCCGGGCAGTGGGTCATGAGGTGCCTTCTCAGGAAGCTGGCTCCATGCTCTCATAGCACTGCCGGTCAGAGGAAGATCTTCCTCTGACCGGAAGTTCCGATATCGGAGGTCAGTATCGGAGCATTTGGGCGAGTATGAGTAACCCTAAACATAAGTCCTGTATGGTCAGGGCTATATGTAGTGCAATGTTTTTAGCAGATTGCTACATTTGTTTTTTTCCTGTCCCATTGTTTGGGATGTTTATGTATCTTTTGCCATATTCTTTTAAACCGACCTCTTGTTTGTATAGTTCGTTTTTTGGGATTTTTTTATTTGAAAACCCAATAAATGTTTGTAAAGAAAACAGTGGAGGAATTAGCTAAGACAGGAGCAGACAGAATCTAGAGCAGCTGCATATACTAACCAATCGGCTTTTATCTTCAGGTTCTCCAGTTATGCTTTAAAAATTAAAGGTAGAAGCCGATAAGTTGTTCCTGTTCTGACAAAAGAGGAGGTGGTTGGAGGTTGTTTTTTTTTTGCAAAGGTTGTGCAAGGCCGCACAATGAACATTGCTGGATCTGGGATGAAGGTAAGTATGTTAGTGGGAGGCCTGCACTCAGGTTGTGTGGGGGAAGGGGGGAGAATTAAAGGTGAAGTCGTCCATTTAGCAACTGATTGATGATCACTGCCAGCTACCTGAAAGAGAATGTCAGTATGTACAAACAGCACAAAGATGATTTAAAAAACATTACTTACAATAAATTGAGAATTTTTCCATACATCGCTTCGGACGCCGTGTAAACTGTGGAAGCCTTGAGGTGGTTCAGTGATGCTGTAATCTCTCTTATCGACATCTTTTGTTTTACCTAAAGCCACATCGCAAACCAGTAACACCCGCTCTCCACTGAATTTAAATGCTTCTGTATATTTTACACTTGTGCTGCATGAAAAAAACCAAACCAGAATTGAAAATCCAATACACACTGAAAGCGATAATTTTTTTCACGTTGGTTAGAAGGAATTGTTTTTTGGAGTCCCTCCAGCTGTCATGATGACCTTCTGGTCTTTAGTACTTTCAGTCGCTAACCAGTATGTAGATAAAAAAATTATGACTTCACTTGGACTTCTCTGCTTTCATCATGTGTGCTGAGGCAAATATTTCCCTCTGTGTCAGGTGTCATTGAAGATTTAGTTTTTGTCTCCTGAGATATTACCTTTGTTAGGTCTACTTTATTTTTTTTTTTCAATAATAAGATTTTATTACGGTTTTTCAATACAAAAAGTACATAAATACAAAAGTACAAAGCGTACAAGGGTACACAGTGCAATCACGTCCGATTATCAATACAGTATCTCAGGGTGCATTTACATTTCCTCACTATAAGAAGGTGTGCATATATGAGTTCCTAACGTCCAACAGTCGCGTTGTCAGCAGCGTTATACATCAAGGCATCATCACATTGTGAGGAGCAGTAGCAGTAATTCGGGTACTGTACATTCCCTACCTAAGGCATATTATGAGGTGACATGGCCGTATTGCATCCTGTGGGACCGGACAACATTAGACGTAGGGAAGAGGGGGTAAAAGTATACACACAACTCAAGACCGGGGTAGGAGAGACATAAGGGGGTGAACAGTAAGGGAGACACAAACAGGAGGGAAGGCTCCGTCGGATCCCACAACTGAGATGAGTCCACAGTGAAATTAAACAATTATATTAGCGGCAGTGCGTCAGCTCACCTCCCCACCAGGAGATACCCCGGCTCATTACAGGGCCAGGAAAGCTGCTGTACCCATATACAAAATCCAGGGGGCCCATAAGACTGCACATTGGGCCTGACGTTCATGTAGTGAGGCCGTCAGTTCCTCAAGGCGCATAATCAGACACAATTCTGCAATCCATTCCTGCACAGTCGGGGTGACCACTGTGTTCCAATGGCGAGGGACAACATTGTGTGCCGCAGCCAAAAAGAAACAAAGCAGGTCCCTCTTGACAGAAGCAAGGGAGCCCGGAAGAATAGAGAGAAGGGCTATTTTAGGTGATGCTGTTAGGTCAGTTCACCACACATGTAGGAGAGTGCCCTCTGCAGTCAGACACCTCCAGCAGGATGAGGATCTATCGGGAAATATCTTATGTAGGAGAGTCGGGCTTCTATACAGCGGGTTAGGATTTTATAGCCTTTTTCCTGAGCCGAGCTGGCCACCGAGATTTTATGGGTTAGCCTGCACGAGGTCCAGATTTCCTCTTCGGTAAATGCGATGTCTAACTCCTACTCCCATCTAGACATGAATGAAAGGTGGCCCTGGAACCTTGTCGTAAGTAAATGGCTGTATAGTAAGGAGATGACATGGGTGGGAGGGTTGCCTGGGCTACAAAAGGGATTTGAACCAGGTAAATGGGTGTTCAAGAGTGGCCCGATCCCTCATTGTGGCGTAAAACGCACAAAGCTGGAAATAGAGCAGCCACGATCCTGGCATATGGGGACGGTCTGCAAGTAGAGTAACCAGGGGTTTCAGGTCCATCCCCGTGAGAGCTTTTGTCAGAGGCGAAGGTGCATTGGACGACCAGCAGAGGAAGCTGGAGGAAATACAGCCCGGTTGAAACTCGGGGTTATCCATTATGGGGGTCATAGGTCCCCCTGGGGGAGACAGGCCATGAGTCCTAGCCAAAAGGTCCCACCCTCTCAAGAGGGGCAGAAGAGTGAAAGGGAGCGTTGAAGAGCGGGGGCGGTGAGCAGGAGTAAGACAAGGTACCGAGAAAGGGAGTACTGGCGAGATGTAAGTTTCTAGGGATACCCAGAGCTTGTGAGCTTCATGGTGTTTCCGATCAAGAGCGTGGGTAAGGAGCGTGGCGTAATAATAGGTCTTCAGGTCAGGTAGGGCAAGGCCCCTCGCATCCTTTGGGCGGACCAAAATGTTGTAGGCCAGTCTCGGGCGTTTACCATTCCAGATAAAGCGAAGCAGTGCAGTACGTAATTGACGGAAAAACGAAGATGGGAGAGTAAGAGGAAGAGTCTGAAAGAGATATAGGAAGCGAGGAAGAATATCAATTTTAAAGAGCGCAATCCTTCCCATCCAGGAGTGTCGTAGGGAGGTCCAAGTCTGTAGACGTGAGATAGTAGATTGGAGAAGCGGAGCAAAGTTCAGGCGATAAAGGTCTGCATGATCCGAGGACAATAGGACGCCGAGATATTTAAGAGCAGATGGTTGCCATTTAAAATGAAAATGTTCCTTGAGGTGGGTAACCTCCGTTGAAGGGAGGGAGACGTTCAAGGCCTCGGTTTTATGTAGGTTCACCTTAAAGTTGCTGACGAGGCCAAACCTCCAAAATTCCTCTAACAAGAAGGGGAGAGCAACACGGGGGTTTGACAAGTAGAGGAGAACGTCGTCTGCATAAAGGCCCAGCTTATAGTGCTGGTTTTGGATACATACCCCTTGGATCGACGGGTTGTGCCATATGGCCTTGGCAAGGTGCTCCATGGCCAATACATACAAAAATGGGGACAGTGGGCAACCCTGTCCCGTTCCATTCCGAATAGAAAAGGGAAAGGACAGGGAGCCGTTTACCCGCACCCGGGCTGTGGGGCAGTGGTAGAGGGCCATAACTTCATCCACAAACAATTTTGGCAGTCCAATCTGTTCTAGTGTAAGAGTAAGGAAGTTCCAATTGAGGCGATCAAACGCCTTCTCCGCATCAACCGACAAAAGGCACATAGGCAGGCCTGAAGATTTAGCATAGCACATGAGTGTTAGCGTCTTGACAGTATTGTCTCTGGCCTCGCGGAATGGGACAAAGCCCACCTGATCCAAATTAATAAGGGAGGGGACATAGTGACTTAGGCGATTCGCTAGGAGCTTAGCGTATAGCTTAAGATCCACATTGATAAGGGAGATCGGGCTATAATTAGAGCAAAGCGTCAGATCTTTGTCGGTTTTAGGGATAATCGTGATATGTGCTTCTTGTGATTGTCGGGTGAAGGGGCAGTCCGCGGAGATGGAGTTAAACGCAGAGAGGAGTAGAGGGGCTATCGGGTCTCTAAAGTGTTTGTAAAAAGCACCAGTGAAGCCATCAGGTCCCGGACTCTTCTCGGAGGGAAGTCCCCCAATGGCCTCTGTAACCTCCTCCAGGGAGAAGGACTCCCCGAGTAGGGCCGCAGCTTCGGCCGGGAGAGTTGGGAGAGGGGTGGCCGCGATGTATGAGGCCGCCTGTTCCAAGAGGTCCAAGATCAGGAAGGAAGCTCCCGGGGCAGGTATGTTATATAGTTCGGCATAGTATGCCTGGAACTCCTGCGCAATCTGGTCAGTGCTGTGAACCACCTGGCCATTTTTCGTTTGTATTTTAGGGACGTAAGTGCGCGTAAGTAGCGTTCGAATGGAACGTGCCAGCAGACGACCGCACTTATCATTATGTTCATATAATGATCTGCGCAAGGACTCCCTGTATTTTAGGGCGCTGAGATCCAGGAGGGAGCGGAGATGAGAACGTTTCTGTTCCAATGCTAACAATATGGCGGGATGTAGCGATTAAGGTTGAGATTGCGGACTTGATGGCATCTACCGCGACTAGGTCACTTAGCAGCGCCTGATGAAATCGCCACGGAAAAGAATGGGGGACCGTCCAGGGATACAGAGATCTAGAGAAACAGGGTAGTGGTCTGACCACACCTGAGAGTCAATAGCAGTGTGGGGGTCCCATGAAAGAAGGTGGTGGGACACCAGAAAATAATCAATACGGCTATGGGAGCAATGAGGGAAGGAGTAAAAGGTGTAGTCTCGCACAGAAGGGTTTAGTATCCGCCATATGTCCTCCAGCTGGAGACGGTGCAAGAGGGTTTTAAGACGATTCAGGTGTGACATAGGGACAGAGGATCCAGAGTAAAATTAAGGTCCCCAATGTATCAATATGTACCCCTCTGCAAATGTCTCTAACCGGCAGAGTATGGCCAAGAAGGAAGGCAATGGGGACTGGTTAGGTAGATAGACATTAACAAATGTAAAGGTCTTATGAAAGAGGGTCCCTTTCAAGAAAAGGTACCTACCATCAGGGTCTCAATCAACCTGCAGGAGCTGGAAAGGCATTGTGGAGTGAAAGCAAATGGCTACCCCCTTGGACTTAGAAATGGAGTTATTACTAGTATACACCTGTTAGGTCTACTTTATATCTGTAACTCTGAGTAAAGGACAATGGTCCCTTTAAGACATAAAAAAGTGCTGCTTTGCAGAACTGCAAGGAGCTAGATTTTTTAGGAAGAGTTACATATAGAGGTTTATTTATAAACAATTCACAGGAGCCATTTGCCCTGCTAATCTCTGTGAACGGTCATTCTGTGCAAATAGAGGCAAAAATTTACATTCTTTGGATATCACCTTATTCAGGAGAAATATAATACCACATTATTGCTCCTATAAGGGGCTCCATCTAGTGGCGATAATGCAGTATTACATTACATTTAGCCTTATGTGAGAGTACTTGCACAGTAAGAGCTCACACAGGCTTTTCGGAAATTCATTCAGTATAGAAGGAACCACTGTATGAATTCATTCATTAATCAACAATGTAAGAGAATATATGCAATAGCTCACGGGCATATTAATATAGGATACATAGTTGTTTTCAATTATTCCACTTATTTTTGATTTCACATACCAAGCACAGCATATTTTAGATTTCACTGTGGTTCTGATTGCACATTGCTGCAGCTGGTCATTATTTACACATAGTGTTTCCTCCTAGCGCAACTTTTTGTTCTCTTGAATAATTTTTTCTATTCATCAGAAGCAACTGACTCTAATTTTGCCACAGCTGACCGACATGGCAATGTCAAAGACGATCGAGCTCACTAAATCGATCGAATGGAGGATCTCTGGTTTTTTAATTTAGCTCAATCAGTTTAAATGCAGTGAATGGCTGACTGACTGACTGACTGACTGATCATATTGATATGTGTGTAACATTTATTTTTGTATTATTTTAAGCCCGTCCATGTCAGCCTTACTTGAAAAGCTAGTTATGAATTGATGAATATTTTTGCCATTTGTTTTACTTATTGGATTTGGTGCCACGCTTGGGACTTTAGTTGCCATTGCGATGTGCTGGGCTTCTGTTGTGTCTCTATGCCTTTATGGAGGAATGGTCTTCCTCCTGGTGAACCTGCACCCAATTCATCCTTTGCAACACGAGCAGGAAACTGTCAACATTTGTAGAGACGCCCGATCGCTTGTATGTTGTGCCTTCATGCACAACATACAAGCTTCTTAGCCCTCTATGTGATAACAATAAAGTTAAGTGTAAAAAAAAAGGAAGAAAAATGAAAGTCACAAAAAATATTAAAAGTGACACACACACAAAAATAAGTTTCATAACATAATAAAGGGGAAACGGTTTGTTTTTTTTAAATTTTATTTTCGGTCCTTTTTTCATTATATAGTAGAAAATAAAAAACCCCAGTGGTGGTTAAACACCACCAAAAGAAAGCTCTATGTGTCCCCAAAAAATGATATAAAATTAATTTCAGTACAGCGTGGCATGACTAAATAAATGTCAAAGTACTGCAGTGCTGAATACTGAAAAATGGTCTCGACAGGAAGGGGGTGTAAACACCACGGTCTTCATGTGGTTAAAGTAAAAACATGTTTCCTTGTATTCAGATGAAACACTAATCTATCTAGCAGACTCAAATGTATCCATTTTCCATTTACTAAACTTCCTGGAGGAATTAGATACATTCTCTGGATTTCAGCTAAATCGGAACAAGTCTCTTCTTTTTGCCTTAGGCCCCAAACTACTGTATTCACCACGTACATCCCCAGTTAAAAATTGTAGACAAATTTAAGTCCCTCTTAAAAAATATATATAGACAACAATCCACATTGAATCATGAACTTCCTCCAAACCAGAACCAGACAATGGATAGGTATATCACTGGACATTTTGGGAAGAGTCAACCTCCTAAAAATTAATTTTGCCCAGAAACTTTTATATACTGTATATCCTCTTTAATGCCTCTTGTAGGATAGCACAGAAACATTTAAAAGGATTGACTCCATTTGCAACTCCTTCATATGAAACCAACAGGTACCTAGGGTTTTACTGAGAACGCTCAGTAGGGCTGCGGGTTTAGCATTCCCCAGCTTCCATCTGTAATATATTGCACTGTTTCTAGTTAACATACCCTTCTTTGGAGCAGCCAGTATGGAAACAGAGATCGGATAGACTCCTGTTATGGATCTCTACATAACTCTGTGTGTAGAAAGGCCCCCATCTCATATGGGGACACACTTATGATACAAACACCTAAATATTCTCTTTTGTGTCTTTTAAAATATATAAAGATAACTGGTCTGATTCACCAAACAATCCCGTTTGGGACAACCTCTTCTTACCAGAATTTACAACTATTGTTGACATAACCGTTTGACACTTAATTGACATTAAATATCTCAACCAACTATTCAGTAGGGAAAAATGTTGAGTTTTGCCCAGATTGAAGAGTTTGTTCTATCTAAATTCTATTTCAGTTTTCTTCAATTACAACAAGCAACCAAAACCCAACTTGGCACACTAGAATCCACATTTCTCACCCAAAATAGTGGAAACTCCTGTTACAGAGGGATAAAACCAAATTAGCTTCCATGTATTACAGCCATCAATCACCTGCCGCGGACCAGACAAGTTTACAAGACTTCCGAGGCCATACCACTGGGGATTTCAAGACACACCTGATGACTTCCCAACTGTAAGTCACATATTATATATTATTTATTTCAGTTCATTTTGCCAGCCACACCAGGTTCCCCAGCACTTACACAGGTAGTCGCGCTCTTCAGTATATTGTAATTTTCAGCCTTATTATCTATTAAACCTTTAAAGCATAAGACTAGAGAGAAATAACAAGGGTAGATCCCACAATTGACAACACAGGAGGAATATGAGGATACCTTTGTGTCTACCTTCACTTCCTTTAAAAAACAAATTAATTCAATTTCACTATTTATATTATGCAACCCCCAACTATACAAGCTAGGTCTACGCTCGGCACTCTACTGCTTTCGAGGATGTGGCTTTTTAGACTCTCTCTGTAACAAAAAAAAAAACATATATATATATATATATCTTAGATTTACCCAATATTACTGACCGACCAGAAGTTTTCCTTCTCAACATCTCCCAACGTCTCATAATCTCCAATTTTCTGGCCATTAGGCTATCAATACTGTACCTGAGATATTCCTGGTATGCCACACACTGTAGATACTTTAAATGGAAAGGGGCACTGTTCACAAAAACAGAGTAATTCCACAATAGCAATTTCTTCTCCCTAAAAGTATGACACAGAATGAATACATAAGAATATTTACTGTATTTATTATAGCATATACTTTTGTGTTAAATTTAAAATCATAATTTTTCAAAAACACTTATGCCAGCAATTAAGGACTGCGACTATTTGTTCAAAGTAACCATTTAGGTTTCAGAAAATGTGGTCTGAAACATGATCTTTGTTTTTTAAGTTGTTACTTAATGTGAATTTTAATTCTTGTTTGGTAAATCCATAATCCAGATTGGTGGCTACTAGCAAGAACTTCCTAAAAATGGCTTCTCTATTAGGTTCCATGAAGAAACCGCCATGCACATTATGCTGTTGTTCACTGGCTCAATGAAGAAGAATGAAGCTCCCAAAGCCTGCGCAGGACGCAGGTATTGGAGGAGGTTGCCTGCTGATCCATGTTAAGTAGGATGTATCTGTAAGATGGGAACAGCAACAGACGTGGTTGGGACCCATTTATGTAAAAGAAAACCAGCAATGAAGACAAAATGACTAACCCTTCTACATTTAATAGTAGTCACGTCCAGGCGCCTGTTCATTGTTTCAGCATTTTTCTTAAGTACTCATTAGCTCAAAACTCAGGGCAACCTATTCTCCAAATTTCAACTTTGTCTACGAAGTCAGTGATTAGCCCAACCCCTCCTTTCCTTGGCACCTCAAAGGTAATCAGTAAAGCCACCAATGGACTGATAAGGAGGCACTGGAGGTGTGGCAAATGAACGACTAGCATAAATTAGGCTAACCAAATGTTATCATATCACATATCATTACATGCTGTGATCAGGCATTTACATGCACCTGCTGTCACCTGATCATTAACGTCAATGGGTGACAGCTGCCGCTTGTAAACGCCAGATTAGGGATTCCTGCTGCAGGAAAATGCAAGTTCCTAGCAACCCCCCCGTACACAGAAGAAAAAGAAAAAAACCTACCCCTGTACATATAAAATAATACACCCCTTCATACACATAAAAAAACCTACCCCTGCACATATAAAGTAATACCCTCCCCCTCCCTCCATACACTTAAAAAAATATACCCCACATACACATAAATATATATACATACACACACACACAGTATATATAGAACGCTCCCCCACATATAAAATAACCCCCCCCCCCCACACATATAACATTAAATAAAAATAAAATACAGACCCCCCTCTCTTGCTTACCTTTTTGCAGGGAGGAAGCTGTGAGGAGGCAGATCGATCCCTGGTGCTCTAGACCTCACTAATACTAATACAGAACTGAGCTCCAGCCGAAAGGATCTCAGTACAGGAGCTGACGAGTGCAGCTCTGAGGTCTGCATCCGACAGAGATGCAGACCGTGTAGCTGCTCCCACAAGTCAGGTACGCGGTCATCGCGTACCTGACTTCTCAGCTGGCTGTGAGTACCGGCTCTTTGAGACCGCTGATTTAGATTATAAAAAGGACCTGATTCATCAAACTACAATAACACTTCTTGCACTTCTACTCAAAGTGGTCTTACAAGTGACATTACCTATAGTGGCAATATTGACCGTTGCATGGAGGGGAAAGCTTCAGCTGTTACAAATGTCTGGAACGTTACCCTTTTTATATGCGATTCAAAAAAATAGTCTTAGGAGTAAAGATTGCTTTAGTGCAGAGGAGCTTTTGCAGTACGGCTTAATTTAAGAAAACCTAATATCTGTTAGGATATACAAATTTGCATTGTTAATTAATTAATATAAGGAGCAGACTATTTGTATGTTTCAAAAGAAAATGTCATGCTTGCTAAATATCATTCACGTTTAGCTTTCTCATCCCTGGCAAGGTGTACAAGCAGACAGTAGATTTCTCCCCAGCTTCATCAGTGATCAGCACCAGGATTTGTTTTTAACACTGTACATTTAAAGTGAATCTGTCATCTAGAAACAGTAGAGGGAGCCAATATTCTGAATCACTGTTGATGAGAGCGATTCCTCTTCTGAAGCAATTACTTCAGTATGACATGTGCCACCAGAACATAGAGATCTGATTTGGCTCTGCTGTCATAGTAACGACTAATATCAACATATTTTAATACTATTACAGCATGATTTTGCAATATTCCCAAGTTCAAATGAACCACATACTTTTTGGAATAAGCTGTATTTCGCCAGGTCTGCATCATATGGAAAGTCCTTTTCATCTCCTTGTTCTTCAAATTCCTCATCATCTATCAGATCCCTGAAATTAGGAAAGAAAAGTGATCCCTGTGCCAAGAGTATGAAAGAACAAATGTCTTTTTTCAAAGAGCCACACCATGACACTGGTGTTGTCACTCTGTATGTGTCAGCACATGTAGACCAGCACCCAGATCTTCTCTAAAGTGAATGGAGGTATTTAGGGATTATTTAGGGACATTCTGCACATACTGGTCATGAGCACAATGTAAAGTTTTTCAGTGAAATCATGCATTAATCTGACCTGCAACAACCAGGGATTGGCGATGCAAGTGATCCCATAGGTTGTACAATTTTGCTCAATTCCTTATTAATCTTGGCTAATAAAACGTAAGAACAGACCCCACCCAGCAGTCCTCATTACAGCTTTATAAGCCTCAATGGGGGGATCACCTAAGGTGGTGAATAAAAGAGCTAAGAGCTACAGCTTTTTTATATAGTGTATTTGGTTTTGTTTACTTTTTAATGATCCTTTAGGTTTATATAAGAGAAATAAAAATGTTTACATACATTGACCCAAAACAACAGAAAGCAAGCATAGGCAGCATCGAACAGTTTACATGAAGTATACATTGTCATGCTGATCCAAGTATAACCTCACTAGCAGCGAGGAAGATTAACCCTGTGGTAGGTGAAATAATAAAGACTGATGTATCTAAAGTACCGGTATGTAGTCATGGGGCCAGAGGTGAAGTGACTCCTACTCCAAGACCATAGGGTAAAAAAGGGTCTAAAACATAAATGTAGCGCTCACCCCTGAAGGACCCGCTGAATGCCCGGTTCATCTCTAGTCTGTCTAGGCCAGGGTATGATCTTTAGCTGCCCACGCATTAGCATTAACCGCCCTTATTCTAGTGCCCACAATAGCTGATGTCCACTCCAGTAGTATAATGCAGAATAACGTTTTATTGAACATCTTTACTGGGGAGAGAGGTTATAGGGATTCTAGATTTCCAGGGTAACTGACATAAGCTCCAGACTCACCAGACCCGGTTGGCATATCAGTGTAGATCCGCTTGGGAGGCAGCGGATAGCAACTGAACTAGCAGATGAGCAAGGATGAATATAGATCCTCAATAGGAAAGACACCAACCATGCTCCCGAAGTCCTTAGGTTCCAGGAAACTTCAAGAGCCATCATTGGTCCTGGGTCTCTTCCTCTAACAGCAACACAGACCTCCTCCATGTTGGAGGCCTCAGGGAAACATTTCCCTCACACCAGCCTATGCCCACCCCAAGGCCTCAGGCCTAGCCTAGGGGGCAGGCTGAACAGCAACCAGCCCTATTCCATAGCTGGTTCCTGGCTTGTCTGAGCACATGGAAAATCCCTCCAGTAATTGTAACGTATCCCAGCATGCACCACTGTTTGAGAAAATCCCAGTGATTGGCTGCTGTACTGTACATACACTACAGTAGAGTCACACTCCTCACCAGGGGGTACAGGGAATTAACCAGATAACTGCCACTATAATTTCAGCCAGGCTGACTACAGCCCTGGCTATCACTAAATGTCTTGTAGCCACATCACAGAAGGTGATGGGGGCTGCATAAACACAGAGGGTGCATCTAAACAAACTCCACTGCAACACCGCTGACTCGTTAGACCCACACTACCAATCATTAGCAAGTTCAGCTGTAGTACATTTCAACTATATGATATCACTGGGTGACTCAGCCTCGTGTTGTGGTGAACATTTTCTGACTACTGAGTCTGGCTGTTTTGTGATGTGTATATTTAGATTTGCTGTGTTATATTTTAGACTATGAAGTACACATTAGAAGACACAATACATAGGTACATACACAAAAAGTTATAATTACCTTTCAGCAATGTCACTTTTGGTGTGTTTCATAAATTTTGCAAGAAATCTACTTTTCTTATCATCTGCAAAACAAATACATAAATAAAGCAGTACATGTATTTATTATGTCCTTAATAAGAATGCAAGGCTTAGATTATATTTATTAAACCATGTATGGACACCCATTGTCTGTATAGCAACAGGGGACAGCAAGTGTCATCTATAAACTGTGGAAGGAGTGCAGATGCTGTTGATGAAAAGTCTGTGTAGATGATTATAAATTGTTCTGCATTTCCTGCAGAAAGGGGAACAATCCACAAAAAAAGGCCACCTGGCTCCGGTTCTATTCTTAAAGGGGTTCTAAAGTCTGTTTTTTTGCCTATATCTACTGCTGGCAAGCAGTAGATATAGGCAAAAAATGTTTTTAAAAAACCCGGTTTAAACATACCTCGTTGTCGCTGCTCGCTCCCCAGCCGAGAATCCAGATCTGCTCGTGCGGCCGCAAAGGATCATGCGCAGTTCGGATTCTCGGCCGGGAGACGAGCAGAGACGCAAGGTAAGTCTATCGACGCGTGCACCCGCATGCAGACACCACTGGATCGGTAATTGGCTTACAACCATCGCAAGACAAAAGTCTTGCGATGGTTGTAAGGTGTATGGGCACCTTTACTCTGTGTGGTGGAGTGATCGCCTGAGTCTGTATAGCCCCAACAGCAGAAGGAGGAGTGAGGGAGCATCAGCATTTAGTGAGAGCACAGACTTCAGTGCATGTAAGTGTTATCTACTGACACCAGTTTTCTCCTCACCCCATTAGGGTACTATTGCTCTCCCCACCCCCCTGCAGGGCACTATTGTTCCTTGCCAACCCCCCACTGGACATTATTGATCTCCTACAGCTCTCTCCCCCCCCGTTTTACACCATTCTCCTCCATTTGGCATTAATGTGTATCTTACTGGGCTCTCATCCCCACCAATGCCCTCCACAATGCCTGGCTGACAAAAAGCATAATTGTTTCTTCTCCTCCCTCACTGACCACTGATGTCAGGGCATTCTTCTCCCACAGGCACCAACAACCCCATTTTGGATCTCGAGGTTTTGAATGTTTTTATCTGGGACCAAAAGTTCCAGATGGAATCAAACAGATCTGTCAGTGCATCAGCAATTTCTTTTCACCAAGGTGTTGGCCACAGTGTTAGCCCTACTGTTTTCTTGTGGCATTCACATTGTGGAATGTACAATCCTCCTGTAGGCGGCAGTATAAACCAAAGGTTTAAAACTTCCTGTGTCCCTCAATGGACTCCAAGAAAAGCATTTTACAGTGTGTACAACAATCCTTTTGTTCCTATTTTTAGTTTTGTACAGGATCTCATTCCAGAATCTATAAATATTTACCTTTCACTTGTTCCAGGTTCACCTCAACTTCTCTGCTGTCAGACAATCCCACCTCAACAAGTCGATTCTCTTGGGCGGATCTCCAAATGAAATCAGGCTTCACTATTGGTATGCAATGCTTCTGGATATTCTTCTGCTGGGAACTGTTCAGTGCTGCATTACTTAGTACAACGACATGTGTACACTAAAAGACAAGACGCTCTGATCACAATGAAATTCATGTATAAACCATAAACTGCATTATATTCTGACAGTGTGATTTAACCACTATATTACTTATAATGACATCTATAAATTTCCCTTCACTGCAATTTAAACATTGCAGTTAGGTTAAAGCTTGATTGCAGCCAAAAAATGTATGAATAGAGTGCAAAAAAAAGCTAAACTTTCTGTCAGGTTATTTTCTGCCTTAGTCCCCAATGAGGAGATTTTTCCTCACTTACTGTTTCTGTGACACCTGTACATAAAATAGTGGTTGAGAGGATTCATTGCCAATACCTTCAGTGCTAGTAAATAAAGTCTGCCATTTAAGGTGTTAAAGCAGTACTGCATTTTCCAAAAAATGCTGACAGGTAGATTGCAAAGTGACACTAAACTCACGGGTTAAATCTTATTTGTGTATCACTCAGCTCTAGACCCTCAAATCATCTCTGAATTCATGCCAACACTGTCCTTCTTTCTGGAGGGTGGCTACTTTTGTTCCCGATGGTCTCTGTGTGTGTGTTGTAAAGTAGCCACCGATCCAAGATCACTCCCATTATGCACTAGATTTAGTTTACCAATTTGTATCAAGGTTGTAGTCCCTCACAGGAGCGAGCTTGGAGCAGTGGCTACTTTACAACACACAAAGGGAACATGAGGAACAAAAGTAGCCACCCTCCAGAAGGAAGGACCGTGTCAGTATGAATTCAGAAATGATTTGAGGGTCTACAGATGCACAAATAAGGTACAATAATGTAAATAGTCAAGGTACTTGAATACATTTTTAATATTTAACACCTGAGTTTAGTGTCAGTTTAATTACAGAAGAGACACTGTATGTCTTTTCTGCCAAAAAAAGTATTACATCTGCAGCTTAGTGTAAATCTTGGCATGATCTTGTGCTGAGATGAAGAAACGCCTATGTTCATGTAATCAAGATGACCTAACCCAGAAGAAGACCGGGAGAATATGGAAGCACTGATAAGTGAGAGCACAGACATCACATCACCGGAGAGGGGGCACTTTGCAAGGTAAGTGTGCAATATTTTGCAAATGTGCTGAGCATACTTGCACATGATGACAAAAGCTCCTCCAGGGCCCAACTTATTTTTGTTGTTTAGTTCTGCTTTCAATGCGCTCAAATGAGGGTAGAGAGAGAGTGCTAAGCCCTGTGTAAGCTCTAACTACAACAACTAATTGCATCCACAGGGCTTCCATTCCCCACTTCCAAAGGCTCATCGGAGTGGCAGAAGTGCTAAGGAAAGGTGAGCACATACTGCTGTGGATAAGGGACATTAAAACACACCGGTTTCTTTACCCTGCATGGACATTACACAGGATTGTTTTAAAGATCTGTGTGAAGGGAAGGTTTAGTGTTAGGATCTGTCCTAGAGTTAGGCATCAGGTATGTTGGGTACTATTTTTATATTTCACTTTTTTGCTGTACTAAAAACTCCATGCTTAACGTTTATGACATTAGGTTCTTGGTGCCACTATGAGTCAGCCTGACATACCCTTCTGCTTCAGCCTCCCTCCTTCAGTGTGTTGTATCATCAAGTAATGGAGGCAGGAGTGCTGGAGAATTTAAACAAGGCAGTAAAAGTATGACTGTAAGTTCCATGGGAAAAGAGTTGGAAACTATGGTAAGGTGATCTCACCACCAACAATCTTCGAAGAGAAACATGAACCCATTGGGTGACACAACTTACTAGATTTAACCTATTCCTAAAACATTCCTTTTAGGCAGACTAACCCTTAAAATGGTTTAAAAAAAATCTGCAATTTGGGCAAAGAGAAGGCATTCTTAAATCAAGGCCATTGTTGTCCACTGAAGGAACACAAGAGCTACTCTTGTCCAGTTGCTATGCCACTAGCTATGGCTAATATATTATCAATACATAATGTATGCTGCCAGTTGATACACATACCTTTTCATTGACTACAAAGGAAATGACTCCTCCATTGGAAGTTATGCAGGTTTTGAGGTTTTTCTTTTCTTTGAATGGCAAAGAAGTGACTTTGAGGAAGAAAACACAGTCTGAAAAGATGCCTACACCCATCCTAGAATTGAAATTAAAAAAAATGTTAAAGTACTTTGAACTTTGTATTTTTCATTTTAAGTCAGGTAGATATAAAATGTTATGTAAGAATAGTTCCAGTACAAACAGTAGAAAAGCTGGCCGCACACAAGATTCCATTGGAATAGTTTAGTCAAGCTTGTACCACTGGTGTTCCAGCCCAAGATCCGCCTTTCAATGCATTTCATCCAATCACGGGTTTAGTTATAGAGATTCTCACACTGCATGCGTTAACTGTGCATTTTTGTCTAGGGACCGAATAAAGAAGATATACCCACCTGATCCTCGATCCCTGAATGCTATACTGGTGCCTGCAGCCTCTTCTCCCCTCTGCCTTGGCATCCTCATCCCTAATACACTGTATTAGACGTGATGACTCAAGGTCCTTAGACTGCTGGAGCCCACGGTAGAGGCAGCGAGGACCGATCTAGCAGCCAAGCTTCTCATGCGCCATGATGCTCATGACCCTCTGCTTAACCTCCAGAAAATTCAAGGTAGCATGCCGCCATGCTTTGGCTATGGTTGGAGGGTGGCCAGATAATTAAATGTCATTACTTAATATCCTACCATTTCTAGAAAAGTTCTAAGTAGGCCTATTGAGTACGGTTTCCCAAGGATCATGGGCCAAAGTGCAATTCAAAACAGACCTTAGTAAATTATAAACCCATATCCACAGTTTTTATGCTTTTGGACTCTGCCCCCAAATATGGAAGATCGTACCCCAAGCACCACAACCATGAAAACACAGAGGGAAAGTTCCAGTCGCATACTTGAGGATCCTATCAGGTGTCATGTACTAGCAAAACAGCATCTTATGTGTGTTTTCTTGAGCCAAGATATTGGGTGAGCATTTGGTCGTGGCAAGCCAGATCTTGCTCCACTCAGACAGATCCAAGGATTTCCGCCAGATTGCCTTCCCAGGTGAGCACAAAAGCAAGTTTAGACTCACCCACTACTTTATACAATCCGTGGATTATAAAGTCATTGATGGATGTTTGGGGCTAAATTACCTACTGGCCTCCTACATCTCATGACAAATATAGCCAGACCTTCTCCTCTACAATCCTAGCTGTTTTCTATCTATCAAGGAACTGGAGTTTGCAAAACCCATGATAACAGATTCCCTGATAAAAAATATATATCAATGAGTGTTTAATGAAATGTTCTAGTCAAGAATGAAACAAATCAGTTTTACATGGATTAAGCTCCGATGATCTTTTTGTTGTAGGTGTCATAACCCATGATTCTTTTACAAACTACATCAGCATTAAACAGGTACAAGTTCTTTTTTATGGTCTCCATGGTGCAGCAAAACATTATCTGGAACTGATAGCTTTGGCACAAAGAGTTTTGACTCCAGTGGCAATAATTATCAGATGAGCAGCAGCCACATATAAAAACCACTACAAACTCTACAATTTTTGAATACCCGTTCATTCCTGTGTGTGAGCTGAATTCCACAGGTAGGCTAGAATACACCTCACCATATGAAGAAATTGAGCCACAGCACTTGCACACGATGGGGAGGCAATAGGGCCGTTTTAGAATATTTTAAAATCTGCAGCTTTCCTTAAAATAATACCTAGGGATACTGCTAGACATTTCCTTGTTGAGGCTCTTCCTCTTATGAAGTGACAAGGCTCCATCCCGGTCTCCAAATTGTATTCTTGATTTTTCATTCTGTCACACAGACTCCAATGGGGATTGCAGGTGGCCATTTCAACACATATTACGCAGGCATGGTCCACTGTTGTCACCATCAGGAAACCCACCGTGGGAAATGCCATGAATCCATTGCTGGACTGTGTTCATGTAGTCAGAAAGTGGTTGTAAACAGGCTACAGGAGATGTTTATGATACACAGTGCTTTATCAAACCTAACATTACTCAGATAGGGTATACATTTCCCTCTACTCCCATTCTTGATGCTTGAGGCATTGGCTCATTTAAGTGTTCCATCTTTGCAGCTCCAGGAGAGTTTTATAAATTATAGGTTATATACGCTATGCATTTATCATTTGTGGGTATCTAATAAAACAATATATTATTAAACAAAACACCTGCTTCCACTGTTGCAACTTCTGGGATCAAGCAGGGAACATAACAACCACCTACATACAGATTTAACCTCTAGAGAGATAATTTATTAATATTCCACAATAAACTATGCATAAATTAAATATATCAAATCTGTAACCATGTACAAAAATCCTCCCCAACACAGACTGAGTATAAATCACACACATTATAAACACCATGACCGTATGAGTCCCCAATAAAGAATTGCAAATACTGTAGATGTCATCCCATCCTAATACTCAACACCTAGTATTGTTCATAAAAGTGGTAGGCAGCACACTGCAGCAGTAGAATAATTTTTAATTCAAACAATAGAAATCTCTTCCATATATGTCCGGACAAGCAGTAAGGAGCACTTACTCCATATGCACCGGACAAGCAGTAAGGAGCACAGTAAGGAGCATGGTGAGTGGCTCACGGCTGTCTACATAATTAAAAGTGCATCAACCAAGTTGGTCAGACATCCATGTGGTTATTGCCCGTTTCCATGAACGTGGTGACTGTGCGTCCTGAGGTGCCTTAGACCAAGAGCACCCTGTTACACAGTCCGCTCTGAGGAAGTTCTATTTGAATGGAATGCGTTAGCATTTGAGCACAGACTGCAAGAAGCCTGAGAGTCACCATACGTGCTAAAGTCTCCCACCGCACAGCACAGTATGGTCTGGCATATTCCAAGGACACTGTTATTTGGCAGAGTGGGTCTTGAAGCAAAACATATGTTGAACCTTTTTGGATGACATCACTGGGTGAGATCTATTTTACTTTTGAACTGATTGCAGCATTATGTGAATTAGTCCAGATCTTTGTTCTGGCTGGACAGCATACTGGAACTATATGAACCTCTGGTACCATATAAAGTTGTCTGTTCACTAGAAGTTTACTCAGACACTGTCACTCCATCTCTATACACATTGTCTATATGATATAGAATGACATCCATCTTGGACACTGTATAACAGGGTGTTCTTGGTCTAAGGCACCTCAGGACGCACAGTCACTACATTCATGTAAACAGGAGCAATAACCACATGGATGTCTGATCAACTGGGTTGATGCACTGTTAAAAGCTACTCACCCCTTTAACAGTAGGTGCTTCTTACTGCTTGTTGGGACATATATGGAAGATATTTCTATTGTTTGATGGAATTAAAAATGTTCCTACTGCTGCAGTGTGCTGCCTACCATGTTTATGAACAATACTAGGTGTCGAGTATTAGGATGGGATGAAATCTGTTTGCATTTATTTATTGGGGACTGATATGGTCATGGTGTTTTATGTGTTGTATTTATACTTAGTCTGTGTTAGGGGGGTTTTTGTACATGGTTACAGGTTTGACATATTTAATGGAATATTAATAAATTATCTTTTTAGAGATTGATGTATGTGGTTGTTATGTTCCCTGTTTGATTCCAGAAGTTGCAACAGTGGAAACAGGTCTTTTGTTCAATTTTGCTTTAAGCAACACTAGCGATCAAATGGGAAGCAATGATGTTGTTTAATTAATTTGTATTACAACAGACCAACCAATTATTCCCATTAGTTCCCCATTGTTTTTTCTATAAATCAATACATTAATTGACACACACACACACACAATTACTTTACTTTTTATTTTAAATTGAAGTGTGGATTTCTCTGAAAATGTGTTCAAGCCAGTGCTGAAGTGGAAATTGCCACAAAGCATGTTCACAGGGGTTAAAGGACTATACATAATGTACAGTATATGCTGTTTGAGGTACTTTATACAATAGATGGTATTGGAAATATATACATTGTTTATGTAACTCTAAGGGGGTTTTCAATACTACTTTTATTTTATATGACGTGTTAATACATTTCTGCACTTTGTTTATTATAATATCACAGTCTCTCAATGCTACAGCTACAGTCCCACCTTTGTGGTCTTTTGCATTACGATTTACATCTATGTTAAAGCTTAACTCTGTGATAAGCAAATATTAGTACTTTGAACAAGCTTTGTATTTTTATTTTTTTTAAGTCAGGTAGATATGAAATATTAACTAAGAATATTTCCAGTACAAACAGAAGAGCTTCTTGTATTAAGACCAGTAACTGGCTAGTCTTGTACCCGTAGTAGGAAATCTAAAGGGAGTTGGTAGGGTGTGGGAAAAAGGATAGAAGAAGGGGTAGGTAGAGTAATGGAAAAAAAGGGGAAGGATGAGAAGGAGGCAGCATAGTCACATGGTCACAGAGAAGGGTAGAGGGTGTTGATATGCAACAACTTATGCTAATATGCACTGATTTGTATTACTGACATTCAGAGATGTAATATTATATTTTGAGGTGTGGATGTCAGTATAGTGCAATGCTAGTCTTTGTGTGCTTACCTATTTATGATTTCACAGGAAGTTTTCCTATCTATATATGTTTCGGTATACTGCTGTATTCCTGTATACAGATGTAATAACGTTCTTCTAAGCAAGTCAAACTTAATTCAGCATTCCTCAAGACCTCAGTGCTTAATCTAAACACATAACCAACAGATGCATGATGCTCTGTCTTAGAATATGTTCTAGCTGTATGTCCAGTTCACTCAGATTTTTATGTTTTCGTGTGGATGTGAAATCTTGCAAGTAGAACCATGCCCTCCTTCTGAAGAGCTGTGGAACAGTCTTCCATGGTTTTGATCACTTGGACAATGATTAACCATAGGCTAAATGAGGAGAAGAGTTGAAGGTTTCGTTGGGCACACCCTGGCTGGATCAGGAAGAATTTTCTGTATGGGCTCTTAGGGAGGGGGGCTCAGTGGCTGGGTCATTTTCTAGTTGTATAGCTGTCAGTTTGTAGAGAACTGATCTTTTTGCAGACTAGAAGCTTTATAGACTAGGGCAGTCCCAAGAAAATGTGGAGCATATTGCCCAGTGCTTGTTATAATTTCCAG